TCCAGCCCTCGCGCCGCACAAGGCGGATGGCGGAGCCCCCGAGCGCGGCGTGCAGCCCGTCGGGAGCGAGGCAGAGGCGGTGGACCGCCGCCTTGCCCGCCTTGAAGGTGTGCACCAGCGAGCCCGACGACACGCTCCAGCAGCAGACCTGCTTGTCGGCTCCGCTCGAGTAGAGCGTGTCTGCGCCGTCAAAGGCGACGTCGAGCACCGCCTGGGTGTGGCCGCGCAGCTCGTGCGCGAGCTCGCCGCGCGCGGCGTCCCACAGCAGCACCGCGCCGCCGTCCGTCCCCACGGCCACCAGCGCGGCGGCGGCCGACTTGCCGTGCCACGCCACACAGGTCGAGCGCAGCGCGAGGTGGGAGGAGCGAGCGAGCTCCTGCCGCAGGGTGGAGGACCCGGTGTCCCACAGCTGCAGCCGGCCGTCGGGGGCCGCCTCGGCGAGCTGCTGCCCGTCCGGCGAGAAGGCGCGGAGAGACGACATGATGGCAGCGGCTCCGCAGCGAGAGGGTCGCAGGCGAGAGTGTACGCGTTCTCGCGCGTGTGTGAGGAACGTCGTAGTGCTGAAAGAATCTTACAACGAAACTCCCTCGCACAACACTGGGCACGTCTGTTTTCTTTCTTTCTTTCTTTACACTGGGCACGGCGAGGTGGCATGAAGGTTGCAGCGAGAATCGGCGAGAGACTGCGAAGAGAGATAGGAAGAGGCAGACTCCCTAGGGTGGGCGACGGATAGCGCACCACACACCTCTCCTTAAAATCCCCGTGTGGTGGCGGCGTGCCGTCCTCCCATCCCTCCCTTGGGTTGTCTGTTTTCTTTCTTTCTTTTTTACACTGGGCACGGGACTGGCGCGAAAGAATTTTACAATGCGCGGAAAAGAATTTTCCGGACAGAGAGCAGGAGTCCTCCCATCCCTCCCTTGGGTTCTCTGTTTTGTTTCTTTCTTTCTTTCAAACAACGACGAGAGTGGAATGTGGGAAGAACGCGAGGTGGCATGGAGGTCGCTGCGAGAATCGGCGAGAGACTGCGAGGAGAGATACAGTTTTAGGTAGTAGGAAGAGGCAGACGCCCAAGCGCCAAGGGTGGGCGACGGCTAGCACCACACCCAAAAAGAGTTTAAACAAGACAACTCTCTCTCACAGGACACAAACAAAAACTGGCGCGTGCTAGCACAGACAGGCTCGACACAGGTGCGAACTGG